TATGCAATGAAATCTAATAATGGAGCTAGAAAACATTTAATAGACGTATAATAAAGAATGTTATTAAATTAATTGAAAACAGTCGAATTAAAGCATCAATGTATGTGCAAATTCAGTTTGTTATTAGATCAAACTTCTGACGTTAAATGGGGAACGTCAATGTTAATACAACTTTTAATAAGAAAATTAATCAGACCAAAATCCGCTCCTTGTTCTCATGAATTTGGCATTATTTGGTAGCTGATCTCAGTGCAGTGGAATAGTCATTAATTTCCACGAATTCTTCATCGTCTGCGAACTAATGTGCTATTCTCCGATGGAACGGGAATCGACTGACTACGCCGCCCCTGTTAACGGAGTCCCAAAGTGATGGTTCCGTGGTCGTATTAAGCTCGATTCGCCATATGCCTGCAACTTGGAGAGATTTGCTGCTGGGGGAACGCCCAGTACCGTTTTTATCATGAAAAGCCGAAGTCAAAATCTTTACCAATTTGAGCAATTTTTACACCAAATATTACTTCAGGCCAAGTTGTACTTCCCCTAGGTATGGCCCTTCTCAAATGATAGTCTAGATAAATTTTGGAGAAAAAAAAAACCTAAGTATGCAAAGTGGCTCATTTCGTCAAGGTCACAAATTTGGTCAATATCAACTTGACGTATTTCTTTCAATTTTGCATTTAAAAAACCTGAACACCCCTCATTTTGAAGGTGTGTGTGTGTAGAATGTTGCTCCTATTTTGATTTTGGAATTCACTCTTCAGTTGTCAAAATGCCGTCCAAGCAAGAAGAGCAGCGTATCAAAATTTTGCTCGCGCATCGCGAAAATCCGAGCTACTCGCACGCAAAGTTGGCAAAATCGCTAAAAGTTGCCAAATCAACCGTTACAAATGTAATTAAAGTGTTTGGGGAACGTTTGTCGACAGCCAGGAAGTCTGGATCGGGGGGAAATCGAAAACCGGAAGCCGCTGAGACGACAAAGAGAGTTGCCGGTAGTTTGAAGCGAAACCCTAACCTCTCTCTCCGAGATGCCGCAAATAAGCTGGGTGTATCGTCTACAACCGTGCATCGAGCCAAAAAACGAGCCGGACTATCGACTTACAAGAAGGTAGTGACTCCAAATCGCGATGATAAACAAAATACGACGGCCAAAGCGCGATCCCGGAGGCTGTACACGACGATGCTGACGAAGTTTGACTGCGTGGTAATGGACGACGAAACCTACGTCAAAGCCGACTACAAGCAGTTTCCTGGACAGGAGTTTTATACGGCAAAAGGAAGGGGAAAGGTAGCAGATGTTTTCAAGCACATGAAACTGTCAAAGTTCGCAAAGAAATATCTGGTTTGGCAAGCCATCTGTACCTGTGGCTTGAAAAGCAGCATTTTCATAGCTTCCGGGACTGTCAACCAAGAAATTTACGTGAAAGAGTGTTTGAATAAACGTCTGCTGCTTTTCCTGAAGAAACACGGTTGTTCCGTACTGTTTTGGCTGGATTTGGCATCTTGCCATTACGGTAAAAAGGCCATGGAGTGGTACGCCGCCAACAACGTGCAGGTGGTGCCCAAGGAAAAGAACCCTCCCAACACGCCAGAGCTCCGCCCAATTGAGAAATACTGGGCTATTGTCAAGCGGAACCTAAAGAAGACCAAAAAAACTGCTAAGGGCGAGCAGCAGTTCAAGGCAAACTGGCTTTCTGCGGCGAAGAAGGTGGACAAGGTGGCTGTACAAAATCTGATGGCAGGGGTCAAGCGTAAGGCCCCGCAATTCGGATTTGGAAAAGCGGAAGCCTAACTGAATATTTTTCCTGAATTTTATACTAATTTAACTTGAAAAAGAAATTTAATTTGATTTTTTAAATAAACGATTTCACCGATTTACACGCGTTTTCCCTTGACCAAATTTTGACCGTATCACCCTTTAGTAGACGAAATACGCGTATCTGTCAAAAGATAAGCAATTATAATGGAATTTAAAGGAAATAACCAACCCACTCAAAGCTCTTCATACAATAAACGGTTTTATACCCCGTTCACATTACAGCCTATACCACGTAATATAGAATGTCTTGCAATGAGTACTCATATATAGGATTTCCAGTAAAAACTATGCACTGCTCATTGCAAGACAGCATATTGTCGCGGATACACTTGTGTGACCTACTATGAGCATGAGCATTATTTGTATAATAATTATGAGCACTATACAACAACTATACACAAACCATACAAGTGTGACTATGGATGTGCTTATAATTTATTATACAAATAATGCTCATTCTCATAGATTGTCATGAAAGTCTATACGCGGCATATATTACATGATATAAACCATAGTCGATTTTTTTTTTGAAAAAATTCATAAGTGAAAACACATACGCACTATTCAAAAATTAGTCTTGAGTCAAATTGATCTCGTGATCGTGGAAAAATCATATTCTTAATGCTGAAAACATGTTGCAAGTTTCACACAGATCGGAAAGAGTGGAACCAGATTTTGACTTTTGCTGGCAGATTTCAGCTGGGAATGCTGGCATAATGGCCTTCAATGCAAGTTTTCCTGGATATTTGAATAGGTACGACCTCCCTGCGCTTCGCTCAGAAAGCGTATAGGGCGTCGTTGTGCCAATTTGGTCGTGGCACATTTCGAGTATGAGAGAGTAATTGCAGTTAGATCAAAAGTGCCTGAGAAAAATGCAAGTACTTTCGCAGATTACCCGAAGTTGCGATAGTGAAGGTATGATCACAGAAAAGCAGACATAACACTCTTAAAACGTTCATCAAAATCGTTTTTAACGGTCAATTTAAATGTTTCTTAGTTGGTAGTACTGCCATTTGTGGTGCACATAATCAATTCCCTAGCGTTTGACGTTTACACACTACAACCATCTGTTGAGTGTATTGTCCATCAAAGTATATACGACAGATGGCGGTAGGGTTTACAATTATAAATGTTCAATGTGTTGTGTCTGCTTGTCTGTGATATAACATTGAGGTAACGTTAGGATAAATTCAAAACATTGAGAAATATTACGCATCACTTTCAGAAATACTTCACTTCGCAACCGATGAACCATTCTGACGGCCATACGAGTACACAAGTAACCATATAGTCGCAATATAGCTTGTATATTCTTACTTTGCTTGAGTATGGTTAGTTGGGGAATCTGATGAAACTGTCACTTCTTGAAACTGATCCCTTTCGTATTTCTTTCATTCTCCTTTCGCAAACGGAGCGCTCGATGGACCAGTGACTTTGGACGTGAGCCTCGTCCCAGATCACCATGGCAATTCAAACCGACCAAAAAAGGCGGAATCATATTAGAACCAACCAACCAAGTACGGTCTACGGAAGGAAATTGCCGGTGAAGCACGGAATGAATAGAGCTATCACCTTCTAACTCCCGGACTAAAGCTGTCTACAATGACCATAAATGTGACATTGTAGAGGGAGTTCTTCCATAATAACACTGCCGGCCAGTGGGGGTTAGGGGGAATACACACACACACACACACACACACACACACACACACACACACACACACACACACACACACACACACACACACACACACACACACACACACACACACAGACACACACGCACACACACACACACACGCACACACACACACACACACACACACACACACACACACACACACACACACACACACACACACACATACACACACACACACACACACACACACACACACACACACACACACACACACACACACACACACACACACACACACACACACACACACACACACACACACACACACACACACACACACACACACACACACACACACATACACACACACACACACACACACACACACACACACATACACACACACACACATACACACACACACACATACACACACACACACATACACACACACACACACACACACACACACACACACACACACACACACACACACACACACACATACACACACACACACACACACACACACACACACACACACACACACACACACACACACACACACACACACACACACACACACACACATATTTGAATAGGTACGACCTGGTGCGAGTATAACCAGCGAGTGATCCATGGGAGCAATGTTTGTTGGGGTAATTTTCATCACGAAAGGCATGAAATGGATGCAAACCTCAACACCAGGCCCGTCGATGAAAAGTTTGCCCTGAATCTACTGGCAAAAAAAAAGAATCAAAACGCATACGCGATCACTTATCGGTCTCAACTGCGGAGCACGCTTCATCTGCTTTCCGTTCACTGTAAACCCAATTCGTGCTTTTGCCAATGCATTGTAGAACCGTTGCGCATCGACACCTGGTTAAGATGGAATCATTTTTGCATTCTTATATTGATGTGGCAAGCGCAGTGTTCCTCTGCAGAGATACTTTATTACCATTGGAAGTCAAGAGGATTTTCTCAATCGAACCCGGCGTCTCCGGCATTTTGACCTACTTTGAAAATACTTGATCCAATAGAACCATAGTTTGAGCGATTACACATTTCATTCACTAGTCCACTTTACGTAAACATCGAACTTTTTGGGCGACCCCTTAACGTCCATCAGCCTGATTATAGTGAGGATTGATGATGATAAATAAATTAGAAATCTTTTCACTGAAAATGTTTTCGGCTATGTACTTTAGAATGTATTGAGCCGGATATCCATTGATTATATTTTAAAAGAATGTACCTGATGTACACACTTCACTCTCCGCCATTGTCACCTATGCCGTCGTTGTTGTCATCATTCGGCTGATAACGTCCAATCGAACTGATAAGCACCTTAGATATCGAAAGCCACCGATAATGGCCTGGTGGTGCGCTACTGCTTCGAATCGGCAGGTTTTGGCACCAGTTTCCTTCGTATCTGGGCCCGAGTGGGACGTTCTTTTTCGGAAGCCGAATTCTTTTGAAGTGGAAAATCATTGTGACAGAGAGAAGATTGTGAGCTGATGATTCATGCAATAGAAAGGATAAATTCAACTTTATGATATGGAACCGTTGTTTAATGACGCCAGCAAAGTGAAGTGAATTGAGTTTGCATATATACTCTTGATTTGGTGATTCTCTAGAAGAAAGATGGATGCGAAAGAAGAGCTCGTAAGTAGCGCAACAATTTTTCAGTAGTTGTTAGCAAAATTGATGGTGTAACAGCAGATCGGCTCGAGAAAAAAAAAGCACATTTCGAGAAATATGTTTTTTTTTTTTTTTTCATAGAGAAGAAATCAATTATGATACAGGTGCAATCAACTGCCCAATCGGTGAGCCATATCATATGTTGATGACGAATGCAATGAACGGTGCTTATCGGGGCATGTAGATGGTGTCGAGCACCGTTGATAAGCGAAATGAATGAGTCGTCGATGAAGCCCAATCACTCGAGGCATTTCCGTGATCAATTACACTCGGGTGCACTGCCATTTTGATTGAAAATGTGCAAAAAGAAACAAACTCGGATTGATTTGACTTGATACTGTGTCAAGGTGATTGTCGGCAAAACCCAGACAAGGTGGCATCGATATGCGGTTCAAAATGGGTTTGGTTTTCTGTGACGATTCCAGGAGGGATCATGTATACATGTATTTGTATTGATATTACGTAAATAATTTAAAGCCCAACCTCCATCAAACTCGAATTTGATTTGAAAGCTCCTATTCCGTCCAACGCTGCTGGCTGAACATTTTGCACCATTATATGTGATTGATTAAAAAAACATTTCTTATCCAACGTGGAATGAGCAGAAGGCCTTTAATATTTATTGTTCTTCGTGTATGACGAACATTTATCAAGGATCCAATTTGTAAAGAAGGCAAACTTTACTTTGCGTCAACTGTCATTCTAATGCATAAGTCAGAAATTTCCAAAAGAGGAAAAAGAAAAAAAATGTTGGTGTTGCTTCAAATCTACGCTGTGTTGTAGGAATATGTGTTTCTAGTGATTTCACTTAGCCATGAAGCTATCACCAATTGCAAAAATGAGTTTGATTAATGTTAAGGTATATGATCCATTTAAAGATACGCGAATTTCGACTACAATGTGCAGATATCTTCATTGTGTGGTACTAATACTTGACAACCGGAGTCGATTATTAGTACAAAACACTGAAGAATTCTGCACGTTGTAGCCGAAATACGCGTATCTGTCAAGGATAATCAATTAAGGTAGTGGGATTAATTGGAAATTACTAATCCTTCTCTCTTTCTTTATACAGATATTCCACTATAGACGCCCACATCATCAGGGTTTATACTATCGAAATACATATCTATTATTGTTTTTTGTTGGAATTTATATTGTACTATTATTTTCATGATTGTTGAGACAGGTTGGTTTTTTAAGCGGGGCTTGAGACTTTGTGACCAAACGCTACGAAGGGGGAGGAGGTGTGTTAAAACATCGAAAAAATGCTACGTCATTTAAGTATCATCGTGAAGTAAATTCCAGTCTGTTAAAGATTATACTTAAGGCCTTCAGACTTTTTTTTTGGCGAACTGATAAGGCAAGGTGAAATTTATTATCTAAAGCTTCGCGTTCCGTTTAGACTAGATATGATCACAAGAAGTCTAATGCAGTTTTTCTTAAGGTGAATCAAGGTTAAGGGAAATCCTTATTATTACCAAGCACTCAATCTCAGGAATTTGATCAACTTGACAAGTGTGTCTTTTTTTTTTAATTTTACGGTGAATGGATTTTATTGGATTAAAATTTCCAATAAAAAAATGGTTAAAATTCAAAATTATTTCAACTAAATTGATAGAAAATTCTCATAACACATAACACCCTTTAGGGTTTTTTTTTTTATATTACGTATTGCAAAAAAACAGATTTTAGATTACCCCTTATCACCCAACAAACATTGTAAGCTGAATAAGAGCTTATCCAGGCAAAAATGTGCTTCTTCAGTCGAAAAATGGCTTATTCAGCTTTTATTCAGCTCAAATTGTTTGTTGGGCATGCACATTCCCTGTACCTACTACATGGCGTGTTGCCATAACATCTTCCACCCCTCTTGCGTTGCGTAATATTTCAAAGGGCCCTCTACGGAATGACGCGAAACTGCCGAGATGGGAACCACCGAGCAGCTCGACATTTTATTTTACTGAATCTCAGTGAAAAACTTGCCGTTAGCTGAATCTCGGCAAGCTTTGTTAGCTGAATCTCGGCAAGATTTTTACTGAGATCCAGCATGCCGAGCTGCACGGTGTTTCCCATCTCGGGAAACAACATAAGGGAACGTCCATTAATTATGTCATGCAAATTTGGCCCATTTTCAATCTCCCCCCCCCCTTTCGTATATTTTTTGTATGGACCTTGAATTTTGTTTGTATGGCTTGTCACAGTTTCCAAAACCCTCCTTCCCCCTAAAAGTGTGACATAATTAATGGACGATCCCTAAGTGTGTATGTCTGTGTTTTTGATTCCGTTAAATATATTAAAGGCCTCACTCTTAGCTTTGTTAGTTGAATCTCGGTAATTTCGGCAAAAGCGAGTAGCTCAGCAACAAGTTTTACTCAGCCCCCTAACATCTAGACAGCTCCCACACATATGAAGTGTAGTTGAAAATTCGTGGTGCCTGGTTCCATTGTGGTGGCCGTTTTGATGGTGTATATTTTGAAAATGTTTTTGACGTAGGACTAGGGTTAACTACCCCATTTTTTGCCTATTAAGCATAACCCGCACTTATTATTTCTTAATCTAGCGCAGTTTCGCATGTCATGCAATATGCCATTCGACGGGGACATACTCCAGCAATTTTGTGGCATATAGTACAAATAGTGCACATAGTTAAACAACTAAGAAATTTAACTATTTCCTAACAAAGACATCACATAGTTGGTCCCAAACGAATCAAGCTGTTGCCGCATTTTTTTCGAACTTCAGACGTGTTCGAAAGGCTTCACAAGCAGCTTGCTGCCAAGGCTGGCTGCAAGAGCGCTCTAGACAGAGTAGCAGTGATGAAGCCACACTGTCACTGTTTGGGTACAGTTGCTCATCATGAGAAAGCATTGTGGGCCACCGTACGTTATTCAAGTACGTTATCGTCATGTCGAAGCTCACCCAAGCTCAAACTAGCTCACCGTAGACGTGGAGGTCTCAGAATTTTATTACATACTACAAATGGAATGGTAATGGTTCATTTTTCTTGGCAATTTTCTTGATGACATTGTCAATGTGAGAGTTGAACTTAAGTGTGTCATCAATAATCACGCCAAGATATTTAATCTCCCGAACGCGATCAATAGTCTCATCATCAATTACAACAGAGACGTTCTCATTTACTCGATTCCGCAAAATTACCATAAATTTAGTTTTACTTGTATTAATTTTTAACTGCTTATACTTCAACCATCTACTTAGAGAACGCAAATCTTCATTCAAGTGTAAAACGGCATCATCTAAATCCTTAGCTGCAATGAATAACACAGTATCATCTGCAAAAATATTAATGTCGCAAAATCGTAAAACACGTCGCAAGTCATTAATATACATAATAAATAACAGGAGCCCTAATACACTTCCCTGGGGCACTCCAAGGTTATTCCCCACGGGACTGGAAACAGAATCATTAAAAACAGTCCGTTGAGTTCTGTCAGACAAATAGCTTTCAAACCATTTACATGCAGTACTCGTAATTCCAAAGCGCTTGATTGATCTTAACAATAAGGGCCTAGAAATTTTTTCAAAAGCGCGTTTAAGATCCAAAAAAACAGCAACAATCGTATCACAGACAAACAGACATAACACATTGAATATTTCTCACTGTAAAACATCGTCGCTAAAACATTACCGCCATCTGTTGAGTACACTGTGGTGGGTAGCACGCTGAACAGATGGCGGTAGTGTGAAAACGTCAAACTCAAGGGAAATGACTATGCGCGCCACAGGTAGCGGTGCTACCAACTACGATACTTTTAAATTGACCGTTAAATGCTTGTTCGATGAACAACTTGCGAGTGTTATGTCTGTTTGTCTGTGATCGTATCTTTACACTCCAAGTTATTTTCCACTTCACTAATACCAAATTCAACGCGATTTCACAAGAATGACCTTCCCGATATCCCGATTGTTCTGGTATCAACAAACTATTACTATTTAAATACTCCAAAAGCTGGCCTTTAACAACAAGTTCTAAAATTTTCTCTAATGTGTGCAACATGTTGATGGGACGAAACTCTTCGGCTTTAATCGTTCCAGCAACTTTTTGAATACCCAAGTAACCAAAAGTTCCGCATTCAACGATTAAAATCACTTTCAAGTTCCGTTAAGTTCAAATAAAGTTCGGACAGAACTTTCAAGTTCCATAAAGTTCAAATAAAGTTCCGACAGAACTTTCAAGTTTCATAAAGGTCAAATAAAGTTCCAACCGAACCTTCATGTTCCATAAAGTTCAAATAGAGTTCCGACAGAACCTTCAAGTTCAATAAAGTTCAAATTAAGTTCCGACAGAACCTTCAAGTTCCATAAAGTTCAAATTAAGTTCCGACAGAACTTTCAAGTTCCATAAAGTTCAAATAAAGTTCAGACAGAACTTTCAAGTTCCATAAAGTTCAAATAAAGTTCCGACAGAACTTTCAAGTTCCATAAAGTTCAAATAAAGTTCCAACAAAACCTTCAAGTTCCATAAAGTTCAAATAAAGTTCCGACAGAACCTTCAAGTTCCATAAAGTTCAAATAAAGTTCCGACAGAACTTTCAAGTTCCATAAAGTTCAAATAAAGTTCCGACAGAACTTTCAAGTTCCATAAAGTTCAAATAAAATACCTGCCTTTAGAAATAACTTTCATAACAGTGCCAACTAAACATAGAATTGGTGTAGAGGACAAGCACCTTTTTTAATTTATTTTCTAAAAGTTCCGTTCGAGTTCCGCCAGAAGCTGCTTAGAATGCTCTTTAATTATGATACCGGAACTTTCAAGTTCTTATAACGACTTAAAAATGAGGCTGCTTAGAATTCTAAAGACCATCACCAACTAAGCTGCTTAAGCCACAAATGGCCTTTTATCAGAACTTTTGGTTACTTGGGTGGTTAGCGTTAGTAGATCGCATGCCGAATACACGGGTTCGAGTCCAGGAAATTACTTTTTAATTATTTTTTTTATGTGTTAATTGAATGTTGATGCACTGCATAAATATAAGAATTATGATTTATTCGGGCCACTGATCATTTAATATTTACGTACATTACATTTTGTTACTAATAAAGACTTGTGCGGATTGCTTCATGTGGCTTGAAAGTTCTGTCGGAACTTTATTTGAACTTTATGGAACTTGAAAGTTCTGTCGGAACTTTATTTGAACTTTATGGAACTTGAAAGTTCTGTCGGAACTTTATTTGAACTTTATGGAACTGGAAGGTTTGGTTGGAACTTTATTTGAATTTTATGAAACTTGAAAGTTCTGTCGGAACTTTATTTGAACTTTATGGAACTTCTGTCGGAACTTTATTTGAACTTTATGGAACTTGAAAGTTCTGTCGGAACTTTATGTGAACTTTATGGAACTTGAAAGTTCAGTCGGAACTTTATTTGAACTTTATGGAACTTTATGGTTCGGTTGGAACTTTATTTGAACTTTATGGAACTTGAAAGTTCTGTCGGAACTTTATTTGAACTTTATGGAACTTGAAGGTTCGGTCGGAACTTTATTTGAACTTTACGGAACTTGAAAGTGATTTTAATCGTTGAATGCAGAACTTTTGGTTACTTGGGAAAGTAAATTGGTACGCACAAAAAGACCTGTAATTCGTGAATCAATAAGTTTAAATAGTCCATTAATGACTGCTTTACAGTACTTTTATTAAAACTTCAAGGTTACAGCATTAGATGGTTACATTTCTCCAGTTCGAACGAAATGTCGAACCTTCCTCTTGATGGAGCCCATCAGCGTCCGCACAGTGGAAATGGACACGGAATCAGGGCATTTCTTCAATTTTTCCCGCATTTTCTAGATGTCCTTGACTGCCCCGCCGCTTCGTCTAAGTTGCTGCTTTGAAATTGTCCAGTATTTTTTGATTGGTCGCAAATCCAGGTAATTCGGAGGATTCATTAGCTTGGGGACAAAATCGATCTTCTTGGCAGCATAACACTCCAGAACCACCTTGGAGTAGTGGCAGCTGGCCAAATCGAGCCAAAAGATGACTTTGCCCCTATGCTTGCAGATGAACGGCAATACACGCTTTTTGAGGCATTCTTCGATGTAAACTTGGGATGTCATCGTAGAGGATGTGACGAATGGTTCCGTTTTCAGGCTAAAACTGCAAATCGATGGCCAAATCATGGCCTTCTTCGCAAACTTGTCGGCAAACATGAACTTGAATCTTCCCGGCTCATCCCCAAGTCCAGCCGCGGTGTAAATTTTTTAAAATCGAGTTTGACATAATATGTCATATTATGGTTCGTCATCGATCAAAGTGCAGCCTTTGTATTTCGTCAAAACACGGTCGTACAAGAGCCTTGCCTTGCCTTGCTCCCTTAGCTCAGTCGGTAAAGGCGCAGCTACAAAGCAAGACCATGCTGGAGATGGCTGGGTTCAAGTCTCGGTCCGGTCTAGGAATTTTTCGGGTTGGAAAATTTCTCGACTTCCCTGGGCATAGAAGTATGATTAGACTTGCCACACAATTATACCAATGCAAAAATGGTACAGGCATCGAAAGCTCTCAATTAATAACTGTGGAAGTGCATCTAAAACACTAAGTTGAGAGCACGCAATAAGCTAATATGCGATATGCAATAAGCTTGAAATGCGAAGAAGAAGAAGACAAGAGCCTTGCACGCTTTTTGGTCACGGAATTTGAAAGTTGCCATTGTACCTTCTGGCCACATGTCGGATCGAAAGACCGGGGTTGGCTTTAACGCAACTCAACACCTTGCTGCGCAGCTGACGATCCCAGGTTCCAGTTTTTTCTAAGGCTTTCGTTGAGCACTCGACAAACTGTTGTCTTCGGCATCTTCAGCACTTTAGCCAGCTTGGACCACTCCGCATTTACCGGATTCTTTCGAGTTCCATTTGACGTTATTTCTGATCGCGATCGACTACTCTGATCGAACTTGCACTAGTTGTTCTCTATAGAAGTGTAAACAAACCACTGTCAAATCTACTTTTAGTCAGCCTTTATAACCATAAGCCATATAGGGCTATGACAAGAGTTAGTGCTCATGTCACGACCCTCTAGTGGAAAAAGGAGCATCACTTAAGCTTTTTAGACTAGATGCTCCCAACGTACGGTACGAGATGTCAACGTTTCATCCGTTAATTGGATTCTGAAGCATCGTTTTTAAATCTTTCCCGTTAAATGCTGCACAGTAGGCCACTTGTTTTGATATTATCTGAATCCTTAGTGTGCAATTTATACAAAATAGACAAGACAAATTATGGAGGTTCACCTCTCATTTTCCAAGATGCTTTCGTGAACTGGCTGTGTTGCTGTTAGATAAAATTAGATTAGATCTAGTGTAATTTGAAGTATCACATGATGGGTTTTTGGTCGAACTCAGAAATAAATTGATGGCAACTGGTTCTTGGGCATTAGAGTTGTACGTGGCATGAAGATGGGTAATTATGGTGTTTTGTATCATTCTCCCAGTTCTAGTGACCAGCGTTTTGTTGAAGTTTTAGAGAACTGGCTCGAGACATTCCTTGACTCTTGTAAATTAAATATATTGGCTGGTGATTTTAATATTAATTGGCGTGATAACCATAATTCGAATCATTTGAAGCGTTTAGCTGAGTTTTTTTTTAATTTAAAGCAAACGGTAAATGAGTATACGCGTATTTCCAGTCACAGTAGAACTTTAATTGACCACGTTTATTCCAATTTTGATTCCATTTGTTCAGTTACGGATACTGATTTGAAAATAACCGATCATGAGACTTTAGTGATTAATGTCTTAGACCATGTTAACGATAACGATACTTTTGTAAAATTGAAGTGCTGGAGGAAATATTCGATTCAAGCTGTTTCGAATCTTGTTGAGAGAAGCCTGGATTTTCCATTCGTGGCCGGTAACTTAGATGAATCTACAGCTGTTCTTAATAACGCTTTGAAAACGTGTACCAATCAACTAGTTGAGCAAAAGTTTGTTTCTTTGAAAAACTCGAACAGCTGGTACAATTTGGATATTTTGCGTCTTAAACGGAAAAGGGACAAATGATACAAAAAGTTTTGTAGATCTAATAATGACAATCATTGGACTAGGTACACAATCGCGCGTAATAAGTATTCACAATCGATAAAGAAAACTCGTTGTGAATATGTTCAAAGGAAGATTGATCAGCATCAAAACAACAGCAAAGAGTTATGGAATTTTTGAAATCTTTATTAAAACCTAGTAATTGCAAACCGCGGTCCACATTAGAACAGTCAGAACAAGTCATTGCAGCTAAGTTTAATGATTATTTCGTAGATAGCGTTTCATTGATTAATCAATCTATTGAATTGGTCGATGAATCTGACGAAATAAAACAGCCAGTTAATAGTAGTTGTAGATTTGAAGTTTTTCACCCAATCACATTAGATGAACTTAGAGTTATTTGTTTTTCATTAGGAAAATCGGCTGGAGTAGATAATGTTGATGCTAGACCCAAGTAACCAAAAGTTCCGCATTCAACGATTAAAATCACTTTCAAGTTCCGTTAAGTTCAAATAAAGTTCCGACCGAACCTTCAAGTTCCATAAAGTTCAAATAAAGTTCCGACAGAACTTTCAAGTTCCATAAAGTTCAAATTAAGTTCCGACAGAACCTTCAAGTTCCATAAAGTTCAAATTATGTTCCGACAGAACTTTCTAGTTCCATAAAGTTCAAATAAAGTTCCGACAGAACTTTCAAGTTCCATAAAGTTCAAATTAAGTTCCGACAGAACTTTCAAGTTCCATAAAGTTCAAATAAAGTTCCGACAGAACTTTCAAGTTCCATAAAGTTCAAATTAAGTTCCAACAAAACCTTCAAGTTCCATAAAGTTCAAATAAAGTTCCGACAGAACCTTCAAGTTCCATAAAGTTCAAATAAAGTTCCGACAGAACTTTCAAGTTCCATAAAGTTCAAATAAAGTTCCGACAGAACTTTCAAGTTCCATAAAGTTCAAATAAAATACCTGCCTTTAGAAATAACTTTCATAACAGTGCGAACTAAACATAGAATTGGTGTAGAGGACAAGCACCTTTTTTAATTTATTTTCTAAAAGTTCCGTTCGAGTTCCGCCAGAAGCTGCTTAGAATGCTCTTCAATTATGATACCGGAACTTTCAAGTTCTTATAACGACTTAAAAATGAGGCTGCTTAGAATTCTAAAGACCATCACCAACTAAGCTGCTTAAGCCACAAATGGCCTTTTATCAGAACTTTTGGTTACTTGGGCTATTGCTGTGTATGGTGGTCTCCATACACAACAATAGGCTCCTAACGCTTCTAACGTTCAACATAGAGGTGAGGTTAGTGGGTGGGGCGCTTTTGCCTTCCGAATAGCATTCCCGTATTTAATAAATAAATTTGATAAGTCACAATGCACTTAAATTAGCGTTTCGACACAAACAATCCCAGAATTAAGAGTGGAATTTACTATGGAAAATCACATCGGGCGTTTTGCCCGCGCGCAATTGTCCCCTGTTCTACTCAATTTTCTTTCAAATGGTGATGTATCAAGCGCCTGCTGAGGTGCCTGCACTGTTAGAGGCTATTCCGAAGCACTTGTCCTTCAAAAGATAATTAAAAGGCAAGTGCCTGGAATCAAAACAATCAATAATGGAATATGAATGTCATTCATGAATGGTATCGTAGTTCGATAGACACATTATATCATACGACGTAAAATTCCGCTTCCAAAATTACACTACCCATTCAACAATAATTGTTTATATCTACAGGGCGAATGGGTATGGCTCGCGCCGAAAAAGATCGACGAATTCGAGGTCCCGTACGCGGGTCGGGTGCTACGGACCCATTCTGGCCAGACGCTCGTCGTCGATGACGATGGCCAGGAAACCTGGGTCAAAGACAATGAGGTAGGTCAAGTTCACTTAGGTTGATTAGCATTCGTGGAACTCGCCGGACCCCTTAGAGGATCATCAATCAAATGTTTTTTTCTCTCTCTATTTTCCTCTAGGTTATCAAACCGATTCATGTAACGTCACAAAGAACGGTGGACGACATGATAACACTGGGTGACCTACAGGAGTATGCCATTCTGCGAAATCTAATTGTCCGCTATCGTCAGAAGCAAATCTACGTAAGTTGATGGATTGCGATGGTATTCGCATCTGTTTTGATTATTTTTTGAGGATGCGATTATAGGTTCATTGATTTTCCGTAGACCTACACCGGTAGCATGCTGGTGGCGATCAATCCCTATGAGATTCTACCAATTTACACGTTCAACGAGGTCAATATGTACAGAAATCGGAAGATAGGTGAACTACCGCCGCATATTTTTGCGATTGGGGATAGTGCCTATCAGGAGATGCGTCGGGATGCGAAAAACCAGTGTATTGTGATAAGTGGCGAATCGGGAGCAGGAAAAACTGAGAGTACTAAACTGATTTTGCAATACCTGGCGGCGACAAGTGGGAAACATTCGTGGATTGAGCAACAGATCATTGAGTCGAATCCGATCTTGGAGGCGTTTGGCAATGCCAAGACGGTGCGGAACGATAACTCGTCGCGGTTTGGAAAGTACATCGATGTGCACTTTAATAAGGAGGGAGTGATCGGTGGGGCTAAAATTGATCATTATTTGCTGGAGAAGTCCAGGATTGTGAGCCAGAACAAGGGCGAAAGGAATTATCACATATTCTACTCCATGTTGGCGGGGTTGAACAAGGAAGAAAAGAAGCTGCTGGAGTTGGAGGATGCTTCAAAGTATCACTACTTGACGAGGGGGCAAACGCTGAACTGTGAAGGTCGAAGTGATGCTGGGGTAAGTTTGTTGGTACAATTTTAGTGTGTTATATACAAATATTTTTTTTTCATTCGGTAGGAATTTGCCGATGTCCGTGCTGCCATGAAAATGCTTTCGTTTACGGATCGTGATATTTGGTCTATCTTGAGTTTACTGGCGGCGGTTCTGCATCTGGGCAACGTCAAGTACAAATCAACCGTTGTTCAGAATATGGATGCCGTGGAAGTGAATGATAATGTGAATGTAATTAGGATCGTGAATTTGCTAGGAGTGATGAAAAATTCTCTAGTGCATGCCTTGACGCGCAGGACCAGATTCGCCCATGGAGAGAGGGTGGTTTCGCACATATCCAAGGAACAGGCGCTGGAAGCCCGGGATGCATTTGTGAAGGCTATTTACGGAAAGATATTTGTTATGATTGTGGATAAGATTAACACCGCCATTTATAAATCATCGCCAAAGTCGCGAATTTCCATTGGTGTTCTCGATATTTTTGGATTCGAACAATTCGAAACGAATAGCTTCGAGCAGCTGTGCATAAACTTTGCGAACGAGAATTTGCAGCAGTTTTTCGTGAAGCATATATTTAAGGTGAGTTGCCAATAATTCCTCGATTTGAGAGCTTCTAACCTAATTTTTGTTTTACAGATGGAACAAGAAGAATACACCCGCGAAGGAATCAACTGGACCAACATCGACTTCATCGACAATCAGGACGTGCTGGACATGATCGGAATGAAGGCACTGCACATAATGGCTCTGATAGACGAGGAAACCCGTTTTCCGAAAGGAACCGACATAACAATGCTATCGAAGTTGCACACTACCCACGGAACGAAGACAATCTACCTAAAACCGAAGTACGACAATGTACCTTCGTTTGGAGTGCAACATTTTGCCGGAAAAGTATTTTACAACGTGAATGGTTTCTTGGAGAAAAACCGAGACACGTTCAGTCCCGATATGAAGGAACTGGTGACGAAGAGCAGTAACGAATTTCTGGTCAGACTGTTCGGATCGGATGATACGTTGGACACGTCGAAGAGGTCCGTTACCCTGTCGCTGCAGTTCCGATCCTCGCTGGAAGCTCTGATGAGGACATTATCTTCATGCCATCCGTACTTCATCCGGTGTATCAAGCCCAATGAGTTGAAGAAGCCAAAGGTGAGACCATTCGCAATTATTTATGTAATTAAGAGGTTCGCAAGGTATGGTACACCCAACCGGGGGATGTAAGATTTGCTTACAATAATGAGGGATTCATCATTGCAGAATGGTAGTGGAGACCGCTTGAACGGAAAGTGAGATATACCGAGCTGCGGTCCAATGCAAGAAAATGGAGTGAAATTAATCATGTTGAAAAAAAAAATAGAAAAGATTGCCGACTGGGCTTGAATCACTAACGTTGCGATTATCAGAACTCAAGCTGAACATTGCATTGGGTCCTAATTAACATTGATCGATTCTCTTCGTCGACTTTCTCTTTCGCACATAACCATTTGTTGATATGATTGTCATATTAGATGCTAGATGAAAGCTTCTTTTATCGATCTTTGTGCTGAAAATACCTGGGAATGTCTTTACATGGCCATTGGGATACAAAGATAAAGTCGACAAAGAGAATCTGACAATGTTCAGCCAGGACCTAATGTAATGGATAGGCTAAAAGCGAATAAGAAGTCTCGATTTCGTATGCTTTTTCTGCTGAACGGAAATTGGAGAGAGTATTGCCAAGTGTGTGCGTCGTTCTACAATGTAATAAATAAAATGCATGACAAATGCTTGCTTGAATGATCGAAAACTTAGACAGAACACAAAAAAAAAATAATAAATCATTGCCTCCTCTGCAAGGTCAACTTATATGGAAATGGAACTAATGTGATGTGACGCAGTCAGATTTCTAAACAGAGGAAGACATTTTTTTAGGTTGGTTATTAGACCAAATTCCACAAACTGGGTCTTTATGCCAAACTTTGGATAATTATTTTGTCAAACAACATTATTAATGTTGCCAGACAACAAGGAGCCGTGTAAAAATATACAGAGATAGTATCATAGTACTACACGCAAACCAAAAAGTTATTACATTGAATGTTAATTACATTTTCTATCATTCTCCGCAGCGAATACTGTAGAGAATGATATGAGTTGACCTTGCAGACGATGCAATGATTTTTATTTTTTTATTTCGTGTTCTGTGTGCGTTTTCGAGTATTCAAGAAAGCATTTGCTATGCATTTTATGTATAACATTGTAGAACGACGCACACACTTGCCACGATTCTCTCCAATTCCCGTTCAGCAGAAAAAGCATACGAAATCGAGTTATCATACTATGAGTGCTTCTTATTTGCTTCTAGCCTATCGATGTTCCGAAGCATGGAGATAACATGGAGAAAGCACCGTTCTGATAATCGCAACGTTCGTGGTTGGAGTATAATCGGCAACCTTTTTTTTCTATTTTTTTTCGACATAATTCATTTCACTCACTAATACATTCCACATTCTGCGATGATGAATCCCTCATTATTGTATGAAAGTCTTACATCCCCCGATTGGGTGTATATATTGTGTCACAAGCGTCTACTGCCCATAATTCCTTTTCAGATGGGACAGTTATGCATTTATGGGTAGTATATAAGAGTGAACCATCTGCTGGAAATGCTATCGCAACGTGGGGCTTTAGGTAGTGATGAAAACGTTGCTAGAACTATTCCACAGCCGCAGTCAGTTTATGAGCAAAAGAAGGACGCACATTTTTTGCCTGTAGACTTGGAGGCATACTTCAAGTCTCCGCGTACATCGTACGGGTTAGGCAAAAGATGTGCGTCTAACTTTAAAAAAACTGTCGCATTAATGGCCCTTCGCTCATTTTCAACTTCTATTCAATTTTCATACTGCCGTACTCTAACGGAACTATCCAGCTACCCTCTTCTAAATATCATTCCCTAGCTAATAAAATTATCACACTAAAGCTTCATGTGAGCATTTCCTACCAACTCTAATTTCATACGTTATGGAATCAACCTTTGACATTAAGCATGAGACGTAAACAAATATGTGATGTAAAATTAAATTCTCCAAGTGAAAACAGTTCGTTAATTGACGAAAAGTACTTTTGATTGAGCTGAATTTTTGAATCTGTTATGAGTCAATTTTATTTCAGTAGGTACATTTCAGTCTCAGAGTACTTAAATCTAAATGATTTTTTTCTAAGTGTGCACCAAGGGGCAAGACAACTGTACTCAGAGTAAATATATTTGCTGCGAGTAAATATGAGTTGCTCATATTTACTCAAAAATGAACAAAGTAGTCTCGTATTTTTCATCGTAAGATATTCTGGAAACAACCACCACAGAATGTTTTGTTTAAATATTTTCAATTGTGAGAAAATTTAGTATTTTGCGTCAGATTATCAACTTTAATATATGTAGCATGATGTCCATGAAACGGCAATATTAAGCTTTCATGTATTAAAAGATCCAAGCTACATTGATTTTATCCCGGCCAGGGGCCTCTTTTGCCTTCTAGGGATTGATGATCTTCGAAGTGCTTCGTGATGTGGTGGTGTGATTTCAAGACCAAAGAAGTTGGAATTTGATCCAATATTATGAGAAGATTATTTTAGCTCATGAAAATTAATACTCAACATCTCAAAATCGATGTTGTTCTGTTGAATTAGTTTCTGGCATGAGGAGACTCAACATTACTAATTATTTATAAGTGAGGTGTACAGTGATCGGCAAAATTAAATTTACAAGCCTCTGTAATGGAAGATCGATATAAATCTCCAAGAATATTTTGCTAGAACAAGTCAGAGTACTGGTCAATTGTCTTTAGAAACTTGTGATCAGAAACGGGTTCAATGTTCACAGCCTGGTGTTGTTGTGATAATCCACATTTAGCACAAATGGAACATTAACGAATGCGGTCTTGTATGTAGCTGTAAGCATCCCAGTTCACAATATTTAGATTAGTTTTGGACAACTTCATAGTTGATTCTATTCCAACACTTACATGAGCGATCGTCAAAGGAATCCCTTCATCTCTTTTTTGTCATGCTACTTAGAATTGTTCAGAATCCTCCATTTGAGCTGACTGTAGTCCTCCCAGAGATTGTCTGGAATTTCCCTGGAGTTGTACGGAATCCTTTCTGTGATTGTTTGGGATCCTCTCTGGACTGTCATGAATGCCCCTTAATTTTTACTGAAACCGTCCTTTTAATTGTCTAGAATCCCTGTTGGGTTTGCCTGAAGTCCCCTCTGATATTTTCCGGCAGCAGTACTGTGAGTGTATGGAATATTTTCTGATAACTGTCTGGAATCACCCCTAGACTAGTTCGGAGTTCCTCCGGAGACTGTCATAAATCCTCTTTTCGATTGACTGGAATCCATCCAGAGATTGTCCAAAGTCTTCTAGGGATTGTCCAGAATCCCTCTGGGACTGTCCTGAATCCTTCTTGGTATTGTACACCAGAATCCGTATTATGTGGTTGCTAATGTTTCACAGCGTGCTGTACGAAAGTGCAATTGCCTTTCCATTGCCGAAATCTCGTCTCGGTTAAGCTTTAGTTTGAAAGGGCACCGCTTAAAATGTTTTCAATACAACAATCAGGTTGCTATGTGTAAATGTTGTTGAGCAATGCGAGTTACGCAGAGTTACTCAAAATTAATTTAGCATTCTATACATTTTTTTATTTGTATAAATGTTTGGATATGAATAAAACATCTTAGATTTATAGACATTTTGGTCGCCTGAACCTGTGTGAAAACTATCATATAGGGTAAATGTCGGCTTTGGCACTCATTGACTATTTTCGACAAGCAAAATGTATACGGTAATTCTAAATTTTATTATCAAAGTATTTCGCTGAATGTATTCAAATGATTCCTTAGTCTTTCAGCTTCAGGTTTTTATGCTGAGCAAATGCATTTTGCCAGGTTATTCCTTGAAATGAAACACACGCACTACAAAATACTGTTTATTTATTGCATATGTGTACGTTACGTCAATAAAAAGCCCATAGAAATGCGGACGCTACTTAGATTGCCTAGAATACGTAAATTCTCCTACCTCGAATAATTTCTGATATATTAACAAGGAAAAATATTGCGCTGAAAATGTAAAACCATTGTCTAAGTCTAAGACCTCAAAAAATTTCAAAATCCCAGATTTCAATAGTCGACTTTTTCAGCAGAATATTTATGTGAGTCGAAATAAAACTACATTGACTTTTTTTTCTGAATCTTAGAAACTGAGATGCAATTTTATAAAAAACTGCTTGAGTAATGGACATTTTTCAAATCCATAATAAAATGTTTTAAACTGGGTATTTTTTCAATTCCAATACCTTTTTTATGCTAATATAACTAAAAGTCCCAGAATGTTAAGAGTATGGAGCAGTTCTAGGCTAAATAGCATACCTTTGTATGGAAGTTTGCGTAATTGTTCGTTATGGACAATTTTGGCTGAAATTCGGCCAATTTGGATGTTTAAAACTTCCGGAATGGCGTACTCGACATTTTTCAAAAACTGATAGCACGTAAACGGACTTTCTGATAGAGCCAGAACCTTTGGTTGATTTTTCGAACTTTTGAGCAGTTCCAGGCAAAATAGCAACAATAGCAAATTTTTGAATCGACCTTCTCCGATTTGTGTGAAACTTTATGCAATTGTTTGTTATGGGCCATGATTCAGATTTTTGCTTAAACCATTTTGGATCTTGTATCATTTTCAAAATGGCGTCCTTGAAATTTTTCAAAAAATTGTAGCACGAATCGGCATTTCTAATTTAAATTGCGTCTCAGACAAAATTCCAGAAAAAAATAATGTCTTTTTGAGAAAAATAGTCGAAAATTGATTTTTTTTAATTTAAAATAAATTTTCGAAATTATGAAAAATTCAAACTTGCTAAAGATTCAAACCATTGAATTCGTAAAAAATTGTAGAACAAGAACTTTTGATCAAATTTTTGAATTTTCAACGGTGTTGTGTATTTTTTCATAGAACATGTTTTAAAATGTCTAAAACATCGTTTTATATGCAGTGATGCAAAATATCATGACACTCACGTGACACTCGTCTTCGCATCAACCGACTATCGCTGACAGATTGTTTTGTCACGCAGTGAGAGTTAGAGCCATGGCAAACAACAATCACCAGTAATGGTCGCTGCTCACAAGCAAAACTTTACACTCGCTGCTGATGATAAAAAGCACAACGAAAACAGTGAAGACTTCTGCAGTACGATCATGAAAAAAAGCGAAACGACAGAACAAAATGAAAACAATGCCTACGCATTCCAAGTTCGTCTCGGCAGGCGCGACTGTGTGAGTTACAAACAAAGCAGGCAGGGAAACGGAAACTGTTGGGCTCACTCACCAACACACTCACATAAGCAAGCAAAGCAGCAACTGCTTCAAAGCGAGCACAGATGAGTGTCGTGATTGTCGGGAATGACCAGATCGGTGATGGATCACAACAGAAGACGACATTCACCAGTTGCTTTTTACTTCTTTCGTCAACTTGAAAGATGGTCATGGAGAGAGCTTCGACGAGCTCATTGATAGGAATGTACAAAGCCTTACTACCATTAGCTGTTTGGCGATCGTGATTGTGATAGGTCGCAACTCTGTTTATATGTATAAATCACAAAGCGTAAAAAAATTCACCAAACATTCCTGTTTATTGATTTTTGTCAATTTTTAAGTGTTCATATTTTTAAACACTTTTTACGAGCTTTATAAAAAAGTGAATTCGTACAAGGATATTTTGCAATATTTAGGTTTTTAACATTGTGGTGGAATTTTTTCATAAAATAACATTATTTAGAAAATCATTATTTTTCTCTACGGCTTGTCTCAGACGTCATTTCGATTAGAAGTACCGTTTCCGTGCAACATTTTTTTTTGAAAAATTTCAGACGTTATTTTGAAAATTCTTTTGAGTTCTAGAATGGCCAAATTTTAGCTAAAATGTAAATCATTGCCCATAACAAACAATTTTGCAAAGTTTCATGCAAATCTGAGAAGGTCGAGTTTTCTCGATTCGTCGTGGAGCTGCTTTTTTTCGTTTGTACGCTTTTGTGGATTTTTTTTCACAGAAATTTAAAATATTTTTTTTCTGAGCATAATAACATGATAAATCGTACTAACAAAAAGTTTAAAAGTCTGACCAAAAGTTCTCGTTCTACAAAGTGTGCATTTTTCATTGAATGAAAAAAAAAAATAATAAATAAAAATCGGTCAAGGATGTTATGCTTAGGATTGTCAAATATATTTTTTTAAATTTATACTTGAAATTACTAAACGCATTTGTTTGTATATTTTTCACAGAAAAACATTATTTTTCTCTACATTGTTGTGTCAGACGTCATTTCGATCATAAGTGCTAATTTCGTACTACATTTTTTTTTAATTTGAAGCATTGAAAAATGCCATTTTAAAAATTTTACAAAATAAAAAATGGACAATTTAAAAAAAAAATGGGGATTATTGCTCATAACAAACAATTATGCAAAGTTTAAAACCAATCATAGTTTTTCCGATTCGTCATTATGGTGGAAATGCTCTGTGTTTAAAATCTCAAAAAATGTGTCCAGTGCTGGAATGCTAAAATTTTTAAAGTCCGGTCTACTAAATTTTTCGTTATGTCCCAGAATCTTGAAAGCTTTTTAGGTTCCAGAATAGTGACATTTTCCAAGTCCGGGATTTCAGTTTATTACTAACGTTCTGGGTTTGATTATTAATTCTAAATCTGAGATTGTAAAATCTTACTAGTTTTATAAGTTAAAGATTTTCTTGTTTCATAAATCATATTAAGTCAAAGTCTTGATGGTTTAGGATTTTGAAAAAAAAAAGACTCCGTAATCTCATAATCTGTCCATGATATGTAAAATTATGCCTTAATTCGATCGCTCACTTCACATAAATCGACCTGGAGACCCAACCGACCGGAGTAGTGACTTTTAGCATTTTTCGAGATTCTGGGAGGCCCCCAAACATGATGCACATGTACGCAAAAAATCAACGTCCTAGGACTTCGACGACCCCTTGACAATAATAGGTATAAAGTAGTGCCGAAGCCATACTCTCCCCTATTAAGCTTGTACTTAAAAAAATGTCAATGCTTTGGGACTGCCATTTCAGATGGTGAATCTTTGCTGTTAGAAATCCAGACCTAACTGTTCTCCTCTTCCCAACAGATCATCGACAATGCCTTGTGCGTTCGACAGCTTCGGTACTCTGGCATGATGGAAACCGCCAAAATCCGAAAAGCAGGTTACGCCATTAGGCACAGCTATTCGGAGTTTGTAGAACGCTATCGACATCTGGGCAAGAACATCGGACCTGCCCACAAGGTTGATTGCAGGGTTGCATCCATGCAAATTTGTCATCTAGTGCTGGCCACGATACCGGATGATTACCAGTTTGGCAGAACCAAGGTATTCCTGAAGGAAAGCCATGATGCATGGCTTGAGTCGGAGCGATCCCGGGTTTACTTACACTATGTCATGTTGATTCAACGTGCTTTCCGACGAGTGCTGTTCTTCAAGTACATTCGAAGGTATCGCATAGCAGCCATCACAATACAGAAACACTGGCGAGCACGTGGCTATCGGTCCAACTATCTGATAATTAGAAACGGTTATAGAAGACTGCAAGCGGTGATCAAGTCTCGCGACTTGACGTACAAATTCGGTAGACTGCGAGAGGTCATCGTGTACTTGCAGGCTCACTGCCGTGGGCATTTGACTCGTAAGAACTTAAAGGACAGGATCACCTACAAGGCCCAGCGTATGAACGAATTACTTGGAATAAAACGCAGGGAGGAAACCCAATTCAAGCAATCCGGCAACAAACGCTGGCGGGAGGATGCCGAACATAACTATTGGCTGCGCGTTGACGAGCTGAATCAAGAGTTGGCCTTGGAAGCAGAAATGAAGAGAACTATCGAGATGGTTCAACCATATCCAGCGATGGATGCGGAAGAAAACAACAAGGTAGTTGACGATGTTTTCGGATTCCTGAATGACCCCATGAGTCCGGAACCGGTACCTAAGCGAAAAACCGCCGTAAGCAAAATGTTAAAATATTTCGAAGAAAAAAGCCGAAACAAAAAGATCATCCCCACTAAGTTGTTGTCCCGTCCTGTAAATTTCTATGAATCGTCTCGATTGTGAACAGGGTACTCAGTGGTTGGAATTCGGAACACAAATCTCACTCTTTTAAACAAACTACACTCGACATTTATGTCTATTTACAAACACCCAACAACAGATACCAAACATGTGCGAAATAATAGGATTACATTTGTAAATAAAATTAATTGGCTGCCATTTTCATCCACGAATGTTATTTATTTCACGCCATTGACTGATTGGAAAAATGATCAAATCGTAGCCCAATGTGCGCAAAGATTTTAATTTGACGATTTCTTGAAGATCTTTAGATCTGAGCCCATCGATGTTGCTCCTATCGCACCCAAATCGCTACTGATGGATGTTAACGATATCGTCGAAGGTGGCACCGAGGCTTATCGGAATTCCACCTGTTTGCGCTAGTGTCAATCGGAACATTTGTGACATTTGAAAATATCAGTGCGATGAGTAATGATTGATTGGATTTCGTCATAGGGCGGTTTTTACAAAGGGCTTGGTTGGATCATTTTTTTATTCCTTTATGTTTCATAATCTCACACACATGCATTCACGCAGGCACACGTACATACGGCTGATAAGTGGTACGATCATTACGCACAACATAAAATGTTATCAGATTATAAAATCATTCAGTGTACAATAAACCATTCACAGGCGAAGAGCGTTTACTGGAGTTCTAGCAGGCTTGTCATACAGTTCGATACATTGAGTAAATCATACAACTACTGTTACAGTCAACCGTTGTGTTTTATTGATATTTGAAAAGCTCTTGAGCTATGTACATACATATATTATTTTAATTTTCAGCGAATCCTCATCTGCTTTACCATTTTGCGTTTTCAGGAGCACAACTCTCACCACCTAGAAGCCGTGATGTTCTGAATATTTTACTCGACGATTTTGCTTAACTGCAACAAACACTGAGCATAATTTTCAACTCTTTTTTTTTTCATAATGTAGACTATCAGTTGTGCGAAAATGTGACGTGATTAACCAAATTGCTTGATATTATACTTCCGTGCCCTACCCTTAAAAGCATATCAGTCCCATCTGGAAAAATAGCAAGCCGAGAAAAACTCAACAACGGAAGTTTTCATAGTATTTTCTGAAGAAAGCATGTGACTTTTAGTGCTGAGTGTAAAATGCCGCTAGTGTACAATCGATTCTAAGGGATAATTAATTTGTGACAAAAAATCTATAGTGGACTGTTATGCTTTTATGAGCAGTCCAGTAGGTCATCACGTTTACGAACATATTCTAAATAGGGAAAATGGCTCTAATGTTGGCCTATGGATCTAATCAATTTTATCAATTGTATCTAGATGAACGCGTCATTGGGACGGTACTTATGGATATTTTTGGTCGCTTTTGAAAATTTAGTCGATTGCTGAATTTATGTATGGGCCCAAATTAGGGGCATTTGGTCGAAATTAAATCCATTTCCCCTATTATACATTTTCATGTTGAAAATTTCAACACACACACAACAAAATTTCAATACTTTTCAAATCACATTTGATCCAAACATAATGCGCTCACACTGCATAGTGGGCCGAGATTGCAACACAGATGGAAACAATTAGTAATCCCAATGCAAAGCATTTCCATAACATTGTGTATTGGCAAATCAAGAAGACTGGCAAATTTACCAGAATCCAAGCGACAGATACAGTAGCGCTGCGCTTGAGTGAAGGTGGAAGCAACGCATAGAAAAATGAGCAAATATACAAACCTTTCTTCTGAGGATGTAATTTTTGCTATCAAATTCGTTCGAAGCATTTACCTTTGAGCTGCAGATGACGCGATTGTACCTGTCTCATAGCGTTTGTATGAGAAAATGGAAGAGTTGCCAGTCTTCTTGATTTGTTGTCTTCGGTTTTTTCCTACTTTTCTATCTAGACAATTCATCGAGCGCTTTTTTCCGTCATTCTTGAATCATCTTGGTGCTTGAAACCTTCATCCACATAGAGTATTTTGTTTTCTGCATCAATTTTGCAGTGATCCGACTGGTGCTTCCACATATTTTTGTTAAGAAAAGTGAAGATTTATAAAACTGCTCCAGCGGTTATGATCTTCCGGATTTTAAATGTGGTGTTATTTAAGCTGTACATCTGTTCAAATATATAAAAAATAATAAAAAAAGACCCCTCTCGGTGGAAATATGCAAGATATGCATAAAAATATAAATTAATTTCAGATGTAAAAAATGTAATTTTGATGTAAACAAACGGTTTGGTTGACGTTTACTCTCATAATCGCCTAGCGCCTCTACATTGGTGGTGCATAGAAACAGCCTATATAGAAATACGCCTTGAACAACGAATCTTTTGCTTAAGAATAAACTGCCACATTGGGCCAGGTATGTACGCCTTTGGCAATGTTGTTTATCTTTAATAAATACACAATTCTCAATAACTTTCAAAGGGACGTATCAGCTTTTGAAAACAATGCATTTGATCGTCATTCAGAAACACATTATCCAATATTTTCGGTGTCTAATGGGAGATGAAAAAGTGTTTTCAACGATTTTAGGACAGCGATATTTTCAATAGGAAAATGAATAATCGTTGAAGAATGAGAGACGAAAATATTGTCGATTCTCAGCTCTGCAAAAAGCAGTTTGAGTGATGTGTCGCTTTAATTGCAGCTGAGTGAGAATTTCTATTTCTAGTTTGAATCGTTGTCGGGTATAAAGGCCTGAAAGACTAGATTTTTCACCTGCGTGAAAAACGCAATCCGTAAAAAAGTCACTTCGCTTGGAACTGTAAACTGATACGATCCAGAGAAATCAATTTTTGTCGATCGCATTTTTTTTCGCTTACGTTTTTAGTCGTGAAAAGAACAGCAGCTATGCGAAAAGTTGAAGTGTAACATTGATCGATCCTCTCGATCGGTAACTGAAACCAGTTCGATTTTGTTTGCCAACCTGGTTAAAATATCATATTTAATTATCTTAAAGATAAATCGTCCAGCTCAAACCTTTGCAGGGGTAAGAGGTGGGACCATCATCATCATCATCATCATCATCCGTCGACTATCTCTTTCGTTAATAACTTGAGCACATCAGTGCTAACATTTGAAAACGGCACAAAAGCCATTTGTAAACAAATGGTTTGTGGGCCCTTTACTCACTACTTGAAGTACACCCACGCGACACAACAGCAACCCTTCCTGACGATGCTGTTGGTTTGCGTGAGCGTTCTTCGGGTAGCGAGTAAAGGGCCCACAAACCATTTGTTTACAAATGGCTTTTGCGCCGTTTTCAAATGTTAGCACTGACATAATCGTTTATTGTTGTGTGTGTCCTATTAGATGCTAGTTAAAAGCTTCTTTTATCGATGTCATACTGTGATATGGCGAACAAAGTAGTGTTTTTGTTGAGTTGTGCTGTGGAAATAAATACATAATTTCGTGTGAAATAGTGCCGTGTGCCGCGAAAGGATCATCCCAACGCGTGCCCGTTGTGTTGTTTTTAACAGGATAAGTAGAGAACGGTTGCCTAGCAACTCGTTTTGGATTTAATTTTGATTTTCCCCCCAGCGCGCTATTGATTTTGTATAGTGAGCTGCGGCGGTAAAATTTTATTTTGTGTTCTCTTCCCCTGTATATGTCTACTGCTAACAGTGTGCGCGTTTAATTTGGCGTGGTAATATGGATGTGTGTAATGTCTGCAAGGAGTCTATTACTATTAGTGGGCTCCCAGTCACATGTGTAGGTCCGTGCAATGGAATGTTCCACTTAAATTGTGCGGCACTCACTAAGACTGCGGCGCGCCTAATAGCAGATAATGCAAATGTTGTTTTCAAATGTGGTAACTGTCTATCAGGTCAGTGTTGTGGCGAGCAGAATGATCTGATCTCGCGCGTCAATAGGATGGAAGAAGAGATGAAGAAAGTTTTTCAACTCTCGGACTCTATCACTGGCATACGAGATCACATTGCTGCTCAGATAGACATCGCGGTTAAAAGCGGGATGGCAGATATAAGCCGAAATGTAAATGGTTTTGAAAATTTAATTTGTGAGAAATTGGATAATATGAAAAGTTCATTTTTTAAAATTAATGCGGAAAACAAATTAGCGGTAATGAATGATCAGTGCAGTGTATCTAGGACGATTCAGTCGGAATCGGACCAAAATACCAGACGCAAAAAACGTAAATTAGTAATCAGTAATAGTGATAATGATGATGTTTTTCAAGAAAATGCGAGTTTTGCGGATGTTGTAAAAAGAGACAGTCGTGCTAGTAAAAGTAAACATGTTAGTAACAGTAACAGTAAAAATAACAGTAACAGTAACAAACAAGATAATCGTAAGACTCGTCCGGTCATTGTGATTAAACCGAAAGAGTCCAAACAAGCTTGCGAAGACACTCGTAAGTTTTTGAAAACTCAGTTGGATCCAAAAACACACAAAATCAGTAATTTTAGAAATGGTAAAGATGGCTCCATTATTGTTGAGTGTGCAACAGGAGCAAATGTAAGTGATGTCAAAAATGGTATTGAAAGCAATCTGGGTGAAAACTATAGTGCTGTTGTTCCCACTTCGGTGCCGAGATTGAAAATAGTGGGCATGAGCGATCAGTATTCCTCCGATGTCTTCATTGACTATTTAAAAAGTCAAAATGAAGACATCGCTATAAATGATGTAAAAGTAGTTAACATGTTTGAAAATCCACGCTTCACGTACAACAAGTTCAGTGTTGTGATTGAAGTCGATTTCGATACGTATAAATGTTTGTTATGCGCGAAAAAAGTAAATGTAGGGTTTGATCGGTGCTCTATAGTTCCCGCGATTAATGTATTGAGGTGTTTCAAATGTGGAGAATTTGGGCACAAGAGCATGGATTGCAAAAATTGTGAGAGATGCTCTAGGTGCAGCCAACAACACAAAACATCGGAGTGTACGTCAACTGT